CACAGGGGGCTGCCGGGCTGCCGGGCTGGGCTGGGCTGGTGCGAGGGTCAGGGGTGGGTGGCTGGTAGGGAGGGGGCGGTTCAACATTGTGGAGCACCGTTTAGCGCCTGCTAATAATCTGAAATGGGCGTGAGATGCGATCGTTGCGCCTTGGCCAGGCACTAAAGTAAATTAATGCAAGATGATCCACTTTCCATGGCCGAAAAATGCCCATTAAAATAAATAAACAATTAAATCGAATGGGCAGAAATAAATTCTCCAGCCATTCGTATTATGTTTCGCCTGCAAATACATATGTCGGCATTCAGAATTTATCGTTGTAAAATATTTTTCCATGCCAGCTGTTATGTAAAACAAGTTGGAGAGCTCTTTAGTGGAGTATGCACGACTTGGAGATACCCTGAACTCAGCTGAACGAGTTGCCGTTGCAAACATTCTAACTTCCTTCTAAAAATATTTGCACAAAAGTACAATTACATTCTTTCTTCATCCACATTCTATAAAAAATACGCCTTTAAGGCTCCGATGTTTATTATACGAAGTTTATGAAGGGCATCCAATATTTATAAATATCAACACCCTAGGCTATATCTGAATGTAAAAAATTTAAAATTTTTAGCTTTCGTAGACGGAAAATCAGACGGACACGGCGAAGGACAATCGACTCGGCTGTCAACAAATACTTTAAAGGATCGAAGATGTGTCTCTTTGCATGCTCGAGAGATCGAGATAGAGATAGAGATACACCTACAGATACAGGTACAGATAGAGATCGAAATAGAGATAGAGATAGAAATGGAAATGGAGATAGAGATAGAGATCGAAGATGAGACTCTTTGCATGCCTTTAACAAATAAACAAAACCAATATACCCTGCATATTGTAATAAATATTGCTAAAAAATATAAAATATAATATATAAAATAAAAAATATAAAATAAAAATATATAAAATATTAAATATAAAATAAAAAATATAAAAAATACAAATATTAAATATAAAATACAAAATAAAAAAATGTAAAATATAAATTTCATATTTTATTGTTCAAATATGAATGAAAAAATTTTTCAGATTCGGTTTTGTTTAAAAAAAAGACACTCGATGCTATTGCTATGTTTAATATAAGTCTGTATTAGTTTCGTTACATAGATTATAATTAAAAAAAATTTTTTTTATTGTTAAAAACCTCGCGACTTATAACTAAAGACACACAAATGGTGCATAAGGCAATTTAACAAATAATAATATCTATACTTAAATACAAAAAAAAAAAAAGGATAATAATTTCTGTTAAATATTTTTGACAAAATGCATTTGATTGATTTTCACACGCGCATTCTAAATGAAAAAAAAAATCTAAAATTACATAATATTTAAATAAAATCATTTAATTTACATGTGAAATATCTGCAATGATAAAGCACTCCAAGAAAGAAGAATAGATATATTTTTATTGGGATATAATTCCTATACCAAGATAAATTCTAGAAATGCAATTTTATATAATATCAAAATTGAAACCAGTTGAAGGAAGTCCCTGTAAGAATTATTGCTTGGAATAATTATTTATTCTTTTTATTTTATTTATTTTATTTATATTATTTATTTTATTTATTTTATTAATTTTATTTATTTTATTTATTTTATTTATTTTATTTATACTATTTATTTTATTTATTTTATTTATTTTATTTATTAATGTGCGAGTGACTTCGTAAATATTCAATACATTGTACATAATATAATTTGTGAAAATTCTTCGATATCAATGAGTTTCATCTTTTGCATATAATTTCCCGATTTTGTCATTTACATGCCTAAAACAAGTGAAAATAACAATAAATTTGCGTGGGAAAGGTAAAGCTGCTGTCTGTGCTGACGTTTATTGCCGAGCCCATCTGCATTAAGAACCCCTTCGAGCCGTGTACAAATATAAACATCCGATTGGGACGAAAAACTTGTTGCATAAACTGCGTTGCCTACGCCGCCGCCTCCTCCTGCTGCTGCCTCCTGCGGCCTTGGCCAAGTGGATGCAGGAGCTTGTAGGCAAAGCAATTTGAACACAATAAAGCTGAACAGTCTGAGTCTGAGCCTGCATATTAAATCGGCAAGTACCCAAGCTGGGCCGGGCCGGCCTCAAACCCGCCATAAATAAAAGCCAAGGCATTTGGCTGGCTGCACCAGAAGAAGAGTTAGCCCAAACGGGGCACAGACGTTGCGGCCGCGCAATCAAATTCAGATACTTGGCGACTCTCCCTCCCTCTCCCTCTCTCTCCCTCTCTCTCGCTCTCTCTCGCTCTCGCTTAAGTGTCGTAAAGTCGTTCTGCGTGCAGCGGCAACAACATCATCGGCAGGGGCATTTATGATTTATGCAACTATCGCCTGCAGCAGACCCAGACCCAGTATAGCCAGCGTCAGGACTCTGCCGAAATCCTTGAGGCGCTTAACAATCTTTTTTATTTTTTTTTGGCCAAATGTCTCCGTCTCCGTCTCCAGCTACGTCGCCGGCTCTGTCGTTTGGTGGCTCTTCAAATTGTGCAATTTTTATGGTTTGGCGGGACGGGCGCCGCATTCATGAATAAAAGATTTTCAAGTGTGCACATCCCGCCCCCCCCCCCTCCCACGCCCACGCCCACCGGCCGCCGTTTTCTCTCAATTTATTATGCTTCTGGCCTTGCCGAGTGCAAATAATAAGCAGCAAGTGCACAGCCACGCCCACACGCCCACACAACAGCTCGACCTGGCACCTTGTTGTTTTCGCTCTCTCTCTCGCTCTCTCTCTCTCGCTTTCTCTGTCTCTCGGTTGCTCAACACGCCCACACAATTGTCGAGGCGTCGCCGTAAAATTAGCAAAGCAAAGAGTTGCAGTTTACTTTCTATTTAAGCGCCGCACTCGACAGCTGTGTTTGTCGCTGGCAGCAACAACAACAACCACAACAACAACCACAACAACAACAACAACAACAATGTCAGCGCTGAGGTTGCATTTGCTTTGTTTGCTTTCCTTATTTGTTGTCTCTCAAGATCGTTTGCCCGAGCTCCCAAAGCAGTTGCCCAAATATGCACCTGCCCGTTGGGACTGACACGCCCCCCCCCCCCTTCCACCTCCCCCAAAAAGTAGGCAACACTTTTGCAAACTTTCGCACTTTGCACTGCGCAAGGCTCTTGAAATTCTTTCTACCAACAAGAGTCGGCCGCATTATGCAATCTATTTATGCCGTGGTGCAGCATTAGAAAAGATTCTCATCACCATAAAAGCTGGTTTGTAGCCGGAATTCAAATATTTTATTTAACGAGAAACAAATCTTGGCCTAGGCTAATTGGATACAGAATAGTTCCTTAAACCTGAACTGACCCATATTTACTTGAGATCTGTAAAATGTATAGAGCTTTTTAGACTTGGGCTTGCGCTTACGATACTTTCCGTATTATATTTATAAAATATTAAATTTTCCAGTTTTTAATTGAAGCTTCGATTAATAAGTGTGAAAGGAAAGGTTAGACGAAGTTGTAGAAATTAAAAACTTTATTCAAAATCAGGAAAAAAGTTCTATCTTGCCGAAGATTAAATGCCCTTGCAAAAACACAAAGAAGTTCGATACATTATCGCTCAAATTTTAGGAAAATAGGGGAATACTTAGTTTGTTCATTTCTCCAGAAATGTGTAACTCAAAGAAGAAGACATCTCCGACCCCATCAAGTATATAAATTCTAGATCAGCGTAAACAGCCGAGTTTGTTAGCCATGTCGGTCTTTCTGTCTACCTGTTTTTTATGCAAACTGTTTATAGCATAGTTTATATCAAAGTTGAATTAAAATAGAAAGGTCCTCCATTCGATTAAACGCCAAAAAAAACACAAAGCCTGCCAAATACAGTGAAATCTGAAATCAATAAACGTATTTATTTTAAATGCTTTATGGGCTTTGTTTGCCTAATATTGAATCTTCATAAATGAAATATTATATACAAATGTATTTCTTAAAGAACCGGAACATTCAACTATCCGCAATTCAACTAGGTATTACTCTTTATATTTAATTATTTCAACTATCTACAATATAAAACAGAATTGGTAAAGAACCCAAAAGCAGAGATCTTTTGAGAATGTTTCCTTAAATTATAAAGTCCGCGTCCACTAATTGGAGCGTCCGGTTATGGGAATGCATTTTGTATGGAAAAAATTTTGAAAAGCTTGCATCTACAGAATTTGTCCGTTTGTGGGAGCTGGCCGTTATGGCAGCTTTCACTGTCCCTATATTACAAGACTATTTTTAAAGAGGCAAACCTCGTGATGAGATTTGACCGAATTATGGAGAGTTATGGGAAATTTTGACCTATATCTATGTAGGATACTTGAGGGTAACATTTTCACATGAATTTTGTTCAAGAATAATGTTGCCAGATTTAGATGCCAAAACGATCTCAAGGCCAACCCATGGACAAAGAGCCAAACCTCGTGAAAATCGGATGAGATCTGACCGATTTATAGAGGTGGGAAATTTAAGGGTACGATTTTTACATGAGTTTTGGTATCTCGATTTGCTTTCGTGTAAAGGTCTTGGAATAATAAGATTTATTTATAAGCATCGATCCATTATTCTGTTTTATATAGTCTTTTCTACTATGTGTTTTGGAAAATCACTTTGATTGGAGCACATTTACTAATTTTGTTTAAATATTACCGGTTTTTAAATTCAAACGCCCGCGCTTTTTTGTATTTGTTTGGCAGCACTGCAGCGACATTGTAGCCAACTTCACGTCGCTGCGCTTACAGACAAATGTAACTGAACAGTGCCATTTTGAGTTTAACAGCCTGTGATTCTGTGTAGCAATATATCGCCAATAAAAATGTTAATTAACAGTTCATATATCGATAAGATTTATGTTAAAGTTAACATTGCCTATCGAATAGTTCGTTTTCTTGAAGCAGCCACACTGTTTGTGTGGAGTATGTTATTTTTGGTCATTCGTCGCATTGGTCACACCGAATAGTTGCCGAATTGTTTTTGTCGCGAGCGGTTGATGTTAACAGGCGCTGCGCTTCGTAAATTTCGTATACGTTGATTTGTGTAAACGCCATTTGTGTGCGCGCGTGTGTGTATGTATTTGCATGCTAGCGAGTTGTTTTTTGCGCCTCTGTACAGTTAATATTCATAATTTTCTGTAAAGCGGAGTGCACTCGTAGCAAACGTAAGTGGCAAAATGAAGCGTGCGAAAAAATAAAATTGTGCAAACAGGCGCCGTACTCAGCGGCGACGCCGCTTGCCTCGTTTTGTATTGTAGTCGTCGTTGTGTGTAGCCGCCTATGACCAGCACTTTGTTGTTGCGCAGCGCGCATTGTGTGTGAGAGCGTGTGTGTGTGTGTGTGTGTAAATTCCAAAACATACGCTGCACAGTGGCACCAAAAGCGAGCTCACAATTGTTTCAATTCCCATGCCCGGCTTTGGACGTTTACGTGCGTATGCGTGTGTGAGTGTGTGCGTGTGTTTGGGTGTGTCGTTGTTGGCCGTGTTTATTATAATTTTCCACTTTTATTTCGTTGAATTTTTCGACCCAAGTGGAGTTTTGTGTGTGTGTGTGTGTGTGTGTTTGGTGCGTCGCTACTGCTTTTGCTTTTGCTTTGCATCATCTACGCTTTGGGCCCTCTTTTACAATTCTCTCATTCTAAGCCTGTTCGCAAGCGGCTGCCGCGCACCAGTCAAGTGTCATTGTGAGTTGTTTTTGCTTGGCTTTTTCTCGTTTTTGTGTGTGTGTGTTTGTGTGTGTGTAGTGGTGGAAGAAGCAACAAATGTTGCGATTGCTTCGTTTTGCGTTGCCAGCTATCAGAACTTGTGATACGTGATAAAATGTGACCAAAGTGCGCGAGTAAAAGCCGGACATCATCAGCAGCAGCAGCAGCAACAACAACAGACACACACAGTTGCCAATTAGAATAGATTATTATTCATTATTTTTCTTATTACTCCTATTTAACTTATACGGGCACACACACACACATGCAAAAGCATAGCGCTACGCAAGCAAAACTTCGTTAGGCCTAGAGTCGGTTTGCGCGCTCGCACACGCTTATGCTCTCTCGCTCTGTCGCTCTCTGGAGTTACAAAAACAATAAGTGTTGGGCAAGGACAGGCGGAGGCAAGGAATTTTTGACACGTGTGCTGCTGCTGCTGCTGCTTGCTCTTCTTCTTGCTCTTTGCTACCTTTTCGTAACGCGAATAAAAATATAAATGCGAATACAAATGCGAAAGTATAATGTATTAAAATCTTAATTGCAGTAAATTAGCGCAAAATGTTGCCAAAACGTGTGCGATAAAAGTGAAAGAAAAGTAAAACCCACAAAAAGTACAACAACAACAACAACAAACGAAGAAAATTAAAGAAACGTAGCGCAGGGCCAGGCCAGCAACCAAAAACTGCGCGTGCCTGTCTCTGTCTCTTTCTGTGTGCCCGTGTGTGTGTTTGTGTGCGTTTGTGTATTTGTGTGCGTTTGCAACAGATGCTGCAAACGTTACGCTCTATGCTTGTGTTGTTGTTGTGCAAAGACACCAACAGCAACAGCAAAAACAACGACGCCTAAAACGACAACAACAACCACGAAATACGTCATCAACAGCAAGCAACAACAACAGCAACAACAACAACAACCATGTTCAAGTGCATTCCAATTTTCAAAGGCTGCAACAGGCAGGTGGAATTCGTGGACAAACGCCACTGTTCGCTGCCCCAAGTGCCGGAGGAAATTTTACGCTACTCGCGAACGCTCGAGGAACTCTTTTTGGACGCGAATCACATTCGTGATCTGCCAAAGGTCAGTATAAATATGTGCATGGGAATTACATACATGCATGTACGTTTAGGTGTATGTGTATGTGTACGTGTATGTGTGTGCGTATGTCAGAGTGTGGAGCTTTGGCCCAAACAGCTGTTAAAATTTGCTGCTAAAATTTGCACAAAACCAAAAGTTGACATTTTCAATGCATAAAACGTTATAAATGTGATATTATATTATTATTATTATTATTATTATTTATACATTTATAATACATAGATAATGAAAGGTTCGTCAAAAATAATGCAATAATTAGTATGACGACAATTTGTGGATTTAACAAAAATATTGCGAAAGTATTGTTTGTAGAGTAGTGTTGGTAAAGCAGTGTTGATAAACCAGTGTTGGTAAATTAGCGAAAATAACTAAAAGACGTAGATTTGCAGTGGGTAAATTAAAAAAAATAATATTTAATCGGAAATCCCAAAGGGAAAATGGAACCAGGTTAGTTCTATAAAATGCTGTTTTTGGTACTTTGTGCCTTCAGTACCTTCCGATCTCTTCCAATGAATAAGGGAATAAGGTATAGTTACAAGTATTTAACTTATATGAAATTAGCATAGAGGGATATGTACAATGAAGGGAAAGGAGGTATTTAAACGATTCGCCTCGTAAATAGGTCGCCGGGGTGTAGTCTTTGGAGGCGCCTTTCCTAGATGGGTTTTGCTTATTTAAGAGGATTACGGCCTTCTGTATACTTGGACTTACGCGGCAAAGAATTCTGTTTGGTAAATTGGTTCATTGAACTCTGCTCAAATGCTCCGGTTGTGCCTTTGACTAGCCTGCAGCACCCCTTTGCGCTGAAAGGGCAAACGTTTACTTCTAAGTCAAAAGCTGAGACTCTGCTAGCTACCTAGATCCCATCGAGCCCTTAGCAACCCCCTTTCGGGTCGTTGTCCAGCGCTGGCCACTGCATCGCCCCTTTCCCCCGACAGTTGTCTATCTGGAATTTGCCCGGCGCATCGCCAAGACAATGATTGCAACAAAAGACGTCCGTTCGCGTCGACTCGGGCGGAAGTCTTTAATTAATATGGAGGCGCAATGGGGCATGGTTCTTTTACAATTTCTGCTCGTCCGCGGCATGCATACAAAATTGAATCTCCAATTACGCAACATGCAGACACAGACATGTGCATACACATCTACATGTACATATACACAGACAGCTCATCGACAGCTGCAGATAACGTTGCCGTTAAAGGTACATATTAATTTCCATGAAAGCCAATTATGTTGGTGCTTAAACTTCAAAAGACGGCAGCGTCCGCGGTTCCTATTAATAATCATGTAGAAGCGCTTTTAATTAGCTGAAAACTTCTGAAAATTGTTTTTCCATGCATCGAGTCAAAAGCTAATGATAGCAGCTTTAACTATTTCCAATTTAATGATGGTATAAAACATTTTCAGAGTCTTCATAAACTCTATGATCAAAAAAAAGCAATTCTCCAAATGCTGAGGCAGCAATTTGTGGATTAATGAATGCGATGGGGCCTGCAATTGTGAATCATTTTGAATGTAAATGGACTCAAATTATTTATTTGTTCTGCTGGCTTCCGTTTTATATGCAGCTGACGAAAAACAAACAAATAACAATAACAACAAATACAAGTAGCGGGCGCTTTATACAGAAAACAAAGCGTTGACATAGCAACAAGTGGCAAGTTCTCGGGAGAAAGCGGGGAGGGAACTTACTTGAATACACACATATACAGTACGCCCTCGCTCAACGCAATCCTCCATTCACCCGATTCTGTGGTGTTCGCCTAACTGCGCAGCAAAATATACATTTTAGCAATGAAACTTAACCACATGAAAGTTTTCCCAGTTGACCCGATTTTAATGGGCTGTGTTGAGATAGGGCGTACTGTATATATGAAGGTGTTTATCTTAACTGATTGACTAACTTATTGATTAAAAACTGTAATTAAGACGTGGTTTTGGGAAACTCCACCCAAAAGTGGCAAAAATAGAATTCAGTGAATAAAATACACTTTCAAAGACATCTCTTCAAATGCATTTGAAAGATTTTTCCACTTTTCGAAAAATCCATCTCTTTTTGAAAATGGGAGTTCGAGTTCAAATTCATTTGTTGGAATCTTTAGACAAATTTATTTGTGTAATGTTTCACACATTTTTAGTCCACCCATTTTCGATGGAAGATGAGTGTTAAAGGTTGCATGAACAAAAAATATGTTTTTCAGCTTCAGTCTCACGAAGAGACTATTCCTGATTCCACTATGTTCAACACTTGTTGAATTAATGTCTGATTCAGCTATGCTCAATATTTGTTACATTTATGCCTGCAGAGTGGAAGCTCAACATTTGTTAGCCTGCTTCCACTATTCTCAACATTTGTTACATTTAACGCCCGATTCTATAATGCTCAACATTTGTTGCATTTATAGCCTGCTTCCACTTATCTCAACATTTGTTACATTTTAACCCCGATTCCACTATGCTCAACATTGGTTACAGTTATAGCCTGATTCCACTATGCTCAACATTTGCTACATTTACATACTTCACATCCTCGCAAAAAGCACGAATTGATCGGGGCGAATACCAACATTTTATGCAAATGTGAAAAATGTAGTTTCTTCTGGGAATACGTACACACAACATACTTCACATTCGCAAAGTATTTAAGAAAGGTTGATAGCTGAATTAGGCTATAAAATGGGAAGTTTTGGATCTTTATTAGGTGGATGTCAAACTCATTTTCCAATATCTTTGTAGAATTTATGACGTCATGATAGTTCGCGTGGATTTACGTTTTCCACTGTCGGAAAATCATCAAACATCGCGCAAGGCCGGAAAATACGAACTAGTATTATATATGTATATGTATGCATCCATCTATCCCCTTCCCTCATAACTTTGCATTTTGCCTTTGCCTTCTGCAATTCATTTGCGGTTAGTTAACTTTCTTTCTTTCTCCGGCAAATGGGGGCAAAGGTATTTGGTTCAATCCAACAATTCAGTCGTCTCAAATCTCAGTCTCGACCTTATCTTCATGAAACCTTCTAATAGTACCTGTTAAGTCCTTAATAGGGACTTCTGTTTTAAATAAATCTAAGCCAATCTTAGCAATTGCGAACTAAGTTATTTGACATCTTCCTATTATATCATATATAGTTCCCGATCGACCACAGATTGAGCTGTTGTATAAAAACATTGTGTGAGGCATTCCGCTTAGAAAATATTTAGCAAATTAATCAATTACGAGCCTTTTAATGTTGCAAACATTCCAATTTAAACGTTTAATAATTTATGATGCAGATCCGTTGCAAGGGTATTTAATCTTCGGCAGCCTTTGCTTGACTGTTTCCTTCTATTTTTTTTGCTGCATGTCTTGAAGTTGGGAATTTTTTTTTTCTGTTTGTAGAGCTTCCTTCGCGGTTAGCCGCACTCGCTAATGAACTTCTAATGCAAATTTTTGTTGCTCGCTTACATCAATAAACTGCACAACGAGAACAACAACAGCAACAACATTTACTGGAGCAATGGACCCTAGTTGCAAGCAGCAGAAGCAACAACATGTTGCTGACCGATGCCAACAACAACGAGATAGAAAGGCTATCTTCGCTACGCCGAAGATTTAATACCCTGGCAGACATTTGCCTTACGGTTTTGTCGATATCTGAGAAAATAGAAGCTCGTAAATGCTGAGTATCTTGCAAAACAGAATATGTTGCCATACAAGAACTTAATTTACGACCGATCATTCCTATGGCAGCTATATTATATAGTTGCCCGATGTTAATAGGATTAATCATATAAATGGGGAGCAAAATAAAACTAATAAATGCCGAGCTTGGGAAAGATATCTTGATAAACAAAAAAGATTTTCATACAAGAACCTTTTTTTCGATCGTTCCCATGGCAGCTATATGATATAGTGGTCCGATCCTTCCGGTTCCGACATATGTACTGCGTGCAACAGAAAGAGGGAAGTATCCAAACGACGATAGCCTTATCATACCCTCTAATACCCTATATAAACTGACTGAGAGCAACAACGACAATGGACAGCCATAATGATGATGTTCTTGCTACGCTGGAAGTTCGTTTGAATTTCAGACTGACAGCGTCGGATGTGCTGCTGCTGCTGCTGCTGCTTCTTGCTGTTGTTATTGTGGTTGTTGTTTTTGTAAATGTTGTTATTGTTGTTGTGGTTGTTGCTGCTGACTACTAGAAACTCTTCGACCGTCAACCCTTTAACTCTTTGAGAGCTGCAAACAATTTCCGCGTTGTCATAGCTACAACATCAACGACAGCAATCCGTGCTTCAATTGTATTGCTCTTAACTCGACGACAATCTGACTCAATCTCTCGGTCTATTTATGTCGTTTGTCGATTGACAGCCCCGTGCTTTGAGCTTTGAGTCACATAGTTGGCGATGCGCAGATTGTTTAAATTTTACCAACAATCCATTGAAATATAAAGGTTAATTTGGCAATGGCACTAGTTTTAAATCAAAAGCCTCCACCTTTTTTAAACTGTCCAATTTGCTTTATTTCCGATCTCTACCAAGCGAAGGGAAGGCTCCTTATACCTCATGTAGATGGGCGCTTTGAAAGTTTTACAAGCACATATTTTGTATCCATCACATATTCTCAGTGATATCGCTTATCTATGCATTTTTTATCTTTTAATAACTGCAATAGCTAAATCAGAAACTTGCAGCCAAATCGAGAATCAAGCTTTAGATTAACCGATATCTTTTTTCTATTTACATTTTCGCTTAGTTTCCATTTGACAGCTTGAATCGTCTTTGTATTTCCGTGTTATCGTCTTTTACTGTTGATGAATATTTTCTACAAAATGAACTTAAATGCTTTGTGGTCTTGGCAATATGCAATCGGTGGCTTTTTTTATGTGCAGCTCACGGAACCTACCTCAAGTGAATTTCGTTGAAATTTCAATTTTTCACTTGAGTATGAAATTGGGTTATCCACCCGCCCGCCCGCTCGCTCGCA